GAAGTTGTCAAGTCGACCAACCCAGCTTCGGGCCGGTCGCTGACCCCACGAGTGCGACGGGTCGAGGAATCGACTCAGCTGGCGCGCCCTCACCTCGACGAGGAGTTGAAGGAGAATGGTGGTGCCGCGAGTTGTGCTGGAGTAGCATGCGAGGAGTGAGGAGCTGCCAAGTGAGTGACAGCGGAAGCAACGAACGTACCGAAGAAGGTGGTGGAGAGCCGCGAGACGTCATCAGCCGAGTACGGACCAACGGTGGCAGAGCCAAATGAAGGATTAAGACACTCACCCGCTCGGCTCGTATCATAACCGGGGCAGTTGTGGTGTAGGGATTTCCAGATTCGACCATACGCCAACCTACTTTAGGTCAAGAATCGGCTCGGTCTGATAACCCATACCTTAGGAGCAAAGGATCACGGTAAGTACTCGGCGATCTGTCCGGATATGCTATCCGGATAGCCGCTGAGCTCAACGGTCACCTGAACTCAGCTGAAGGGTCGGTAGAGATCCGAAACGACTTCATTTCACTAGATATTTGTATAAGAAGCATAGGATTAAATAGGGGGAGCCGAAAGGGCTCCCAGAAGATAACAGAGCAGAATTTTCCTAGTCCAAGACACGTGTACACTTTTCCGGTAAGTCCCTGCATAGGGCTGGATTATGCCTGCCGTCAATACTCGAGAGGCATAGCTTGTAGGGTGTTGACTGGTAGCGCCAAGATATTAGGTCGGTCTGGGTAGGACAAAGTCTCGCTACGCGCGAAAGAAAGCCCCGCATACTCAGCGGGCCGGTACGTCGGATAGCCCGGGTGCCGTAACACTTCTAGCTGAGCAGCCTCTGCGCTCGGTGACCTGTAAAAGCGCTCGCGCGCCGTCGTCCATCCTTTGGTGGAGGGCACAGGGTTGTGAACGAGCTCAGCCGAACCAAACTCGGCGGAGCCTCGGAAGTGATCTGACTTGGTTAGTGGGAACCGAGTGGAAGCGAGCCACTCGTCTGTCCCGGAAGGGCCGGACCGCGAGGGGACCACCCTCTGCGAAGGCCATACAACCGCCGACCTAACTCGGCGATTCGTTGTGGTTTGTGTAAGGAATCCACATCTGACGGTATTTGTGTGTTCTACTACACCACAACTCCATCAGGGTTCTTCCGTTTAGGATGAAGTTACAACTGCATCCGACGACTTACACACTTTGGTGCGGTTGGTGTAGCGAGAAAAGCATCGCTCATGGAGCGCTTCGGCGAATGATGCCAAGTCTTAGCCAGACCGGCGTCAATTCGGAAACAGCGAAATATCGAGGTGGTTGAAGATGTTTTGTTCTATAGTCCATTAGAGCGACTGAAGTATCAAGCACGTGCTGACGAAGCATGTACAAATTGAGCAGTACTTGAATCTGGTTTGCTGACTCGCTTTGAGCTCGACGGCTCAGCCCTGTGATAGGCTCTACGAGACACGCCAGTTGAATTATTAAGTTTATCGGCTACTAAAGGGAAACCTCCCGGAGGCGCAAGTCCAGTCCGAAGTGACTTAGCAATACGCTAATCAAACAAACTACCAACTGGTCCCACTTATCAAGAATTCGTAAGATTACTTTGGTTAGGCCCATGAATCGAGGTGGCTTGAGTTCGACAAGGGTACGGGACTTGCTTTCTCCGGTCATATCGCACAAGTCCGCAAACAGTGCACCCATTATCTCTACGTGGTGTACTTAATAAATAGGCCTCCCGATTCGTGAAGTAAGCTCTGTCATTCTCTTGTTTTTTTACTTGCTCATGTCATTGACAATTTCGCAAGCCGCTTTAGTTGCAGCGCTCGTTAAGAGCGGGATGCACCATTCCCACTGGTGTTTAAGTCCTTCTTGGATCATACACTTCACGTCAGCGCCTGCGTCACTTGTTCCACAAAAGAACCGTTTGATTGAAAGTCCGAAGTCGAATAGAATTTGCTCTATCCACCGCTTGAAAGACCCACGAATACCCCCATCACGCTGACCGTGAGAAGGACGAAAGTGACGAGTTCCAAGCAAGAACGATCGGAAGCGCCACTCGCTGTCAATAAAGCCTATACGCAGACCGAGATACATTTCACTCTGCGTTATTAATGACCACATGTCCAGCACCATCGTAAGAAACTTGATGTTGAGCAGAATATTTTGGAGAACGTATTGAATCCCCCTACAATTCCACGATTGCATGAGCTACGGTTTGCGCATTAATTATCGCTCGGTACCTCTCGTCGGTGACAAGCTCTCAACAGCTTCGATTCCTCGTACTCGCCGAGCCGGAATGGTAGATTATTAAAGATAATGCGTAAAGTATCCATAAGTAAACACACCCTATGAGCATCGTCATGCTTCAGAGCAGCATTGCGAAGTATGTCCACTTCGTCATCGCGTGTGTGCACCTTGTAGTGTAGATTTGTCAGAGTTGATGCCATGGACGTCCTTCAAATGTGCTGTAGCCTTTGACGTCTTCCCATATAGCTGTATGATCTGGTGGCGCTCTCGACAGCTTTTGTTCCCAAGACAGATCCACCCCATGCACGTTTTCCCGTCCAATTTCACTGGCACACGGACACCCAATTGACGAATAATAGATCGCTCAGTAGCCTTGATGGGACTAGGGTAAATCCAGGTAGGGGCTGGTAGTTTTTATCGCATCTTGCACTGCGACGGGAGCTTCCACTAAGTTGAAGCTGGATGTGACCGGTTGTCGAAGTAGTTCAGCTGGCCACGATAGATCTCGGGATGCATCGCCAGGTATGATAGACTGATTCGATGTCTCATCAAGGTCCGCAGCAGATTGTTTCGTGGGAGGACGTTCTTACAAAGCTGACAATGGTACATGAAGTTGGGATTGACCACTTCTTGAGGTGTTCAGACTAAGCGGTGGACCTAGCTGTTGTAGAGTTGGCATTACGCGATCCTTAGTCGGGCGTGTTGCTACATAAGATGGCGTTTTAAAAGGATGCAGCAGTCGCCGGCGACTCTGGTCGGACCTGTACTGTCGTTGCCGCGAGCAAACCAGGATCTCAAGTTTCGGCTTAAGATCTCCCAGGTTTTCAAATAGTGAAGCCGGTATCAAACGAGCTTCAGACTGGTAAAAAAAAAAGCGCAGACCGCGGGAGGATTTTGGTAGCTGTCGGATGGTTGGAAAAAAAATATTATTTTCTGGGTTGCGGTCGATTCAAGCGAAGCTACTTCAAAGGCCAGCATTGCATATATCTGATCATGTCTTAGGCTTTCCTTTCTCAAAGACTGCGCATTCCGTATTACGCGCGTCCCTTGGAGCTGTGCGGCTCTTACTGAAGTGTCGCCTGTCGCAGAACAAGATGGTATTGTCCAATAGAATGTCCGAGGCTCGTCGATTACGAAACCGCCATGACGAAACGGTGAACTAAGGAGTTTCACCTTGAAGGATACGAAACGACAGTGGAACTTAAATATCGGTAATACTGGCTCTATCCGACTCAGCTTTCAATATGAAGCATCTTTGCAACGATAGCTGGTTCCTTAACAGTAAGGTCATTTAAGGCGTGATACTCCCTATTTGAGTGGCGTAGCAGAACGAAATGCTGCATCTGTGCCAGAGTTGTACTATCAAATGGGAATTTTCAAGCAACGGGTGAAAATAGCTTTTGAGTTGAGGTAGCAAAAGATGAAACCAACGCAGGAGACCACAGGAGCGAGCGGCCGTAGTTAGTTTCAGAATTTCCTAATCGCGCTTAAGCCCTCTTGCTTCCGCCTTTCAGCCTCCAGCACTCCGGAGAATGGTTCGCCTTGCAGCTCGATCCTACCTGCATTTGATGCCTGAAACCATTGAAACAGGTTTTGACGCACCATTCTACGCGAAGGTTGTTCGAGTCGAGGCAGATACAGTAACGTTTCATAGTCTCGAAGGGGGGGGAAGAGGGAAGTGTAAGCCGGGCAGTTGCGGAAACCCACGTGGTGACGGCCAGCGAGGTGAACAGAGCAAGAAATCATTCACTCATGCGACGTGCAGTTGCTGTAAAGGGCTCTGATCATGTTTACTACGGTCAAGTGGTAGAAGCCGAAGGCGATCAGCTGTCGATTCTATCCGACGGACAGCGGTTCACCGCTGAATGGAAGGCAGTGTCGGTCGTAGCACCGATTGTAGCCCTTCTATTGGAACATATTCAATTTGACAGTGAAGAATGGAGCGCGCGCGAAATCGAGGCTGTCGAAAATACTGTTCTAGACCGAGTACTCGGACGAGATATCGTGGGCTAACCAGATACCGGATATATTAGAAGGCTTAATGGCAGAAGCTAACTATCCCAGTGCAACGAAGGTCTGTAAGTGGACCGACCCTTCAACGGGTCAACAGACCGAGTTTTCGCTGCAACACGCCCTTGACTTTGCGTATTATGTCGATGGAGGAGTGACACCGGTGCCACCAACTGTGGGGCAGGCGTTTTGCTGCCCGCCTCAGTCACAATCACCGATTGGTGGTGGTGATGGTGAGGAAAGAGAAGGAAGTGAGCTTTTCGATCCTTTTATCGACGACGATGATACTCCCCAAGACCAATCGGAGCCGATTCGTGAGGGTACGGTTCAAGTCTCTACGCGGCCAGAACGACCAAAGCGTTCCCGACAGCCGGTTAGCTCGTCGGATGATGGTGTTCATTGAGGCAAAGCGACGTCGCACAGCGGTAGACCAAGATGCACTCATTGTCGAGAAACTCAGCGATGACCCCGAGCTACTGGAGCGGTTTCTAGCTATTAGACAAGCCAACAGACAGTCTCAAACGGTTCCGAGGACTCAAGTGAGCACGAGTTCTGAGATGATTGGGCAGCCGCCACCGCGGAAAAGAGTGACCGTAGCATCAAAGTACGCATTTGCTCCACGAGATGATCAACAAGAGGTACCTGAGCGAGTGACATCAGAAAAGCATAAAGGTAAGCCTGCTACTATATTTGTCAAAGGTATGGTTCGGTCCGAATTTGTGAAGTATAAGGCGCTACCGGGTGTCTGCACTCGGGCATATGATATTCAATTTGGTTCTGGTGGGCTGTCAATTCGTCACTTCGCCCGACTGTCAGAGGACGAGAGGATGTCGTGGCTAGAAAGTGGAGGATCAAATTTTGGCAACCTGTCGGCGACGGCAGAGTTCGCTGCAGCTACTCCTGCTTCGCGCATAGAGGATGTGGTAGAAGCAGCAAGAGTGTTCCTCACGTATTGCCGAGAATACTGCTGCTCAGAGCTGATCGAACTGGTCGAACACATCGTTGAGTTCATAGAAGAAACACTCATGAGAGTTAGCTGGAGTCAAAAAGAGCTGTCGACACTTGTTTACTGGGTAAACGATGTTTTAGAGGACTTTAGAAGTGTTGCAGAAAGCGATGGTGACTTAAGGCAAGTGATGAGACGCTGCTCAACGGATGACAGGCTTCTGAGGGATCTGATGTTCGTGAAAGTACATCAACACGTCAGCGAGATCAAGAACGAGAGATTAACGGATGAAGCTCGAACAGGGGGGACGAAGCGCGCACCAACTTACCAGTTTACCCCTCGGCAGGACGGTAAAAGGCGTCTCGGTCGGATATCGAGGGACGTGCTGCGCCAACTTCCAGTACAAACCGAGCCAGGCTCGGGCAAGTCTAAGAGTCTATGTATGCGTTACCTTTCAAAGGCAGGCTGTGCACCCGACGCAAATGGCGCGTGCCCCAGTGATCATGGTCATTTTGTTCCAAATAAGCTGCCGGCCTGCGTGAAAGAAGAGATCACTAGACGATTTGGTGGCTTGAAGGAGGAGCACCGACAATTATGACTATCCAAGATCAGCGGGGCAGTACGGCCATCTTTGCAGCTCAAGTTTGTGGCAGCGGCCCGAAATCGACCTGAGAAGCAGCAGAAATGGGTATGCTCACGCCTTAGCTCGGACGCTACACAAGTGAATGGTGTGTTGAGTAACGACCGATTCACTGCGGTGGATGTGTCCCACATGACTGCATCGGACAAGGTAGTATCAAGTCTGCACCCAAAGAGGACTGCTAGCGTCAACGCAGTATCAGAGAACAAGCAATGCAAAATTGGTAAAACGATGGTGTCAGCAAAGAGCAAGGGTGACAAAGTACGCTGTCTCAAAGTAGCGGGTCATGGAGAATCCACTTTACCCCAGAACGAGATACTTAAGCGAGATACAAGTACTAGTCACCAGAGGCCTTGTAGACATCCAACTATTGGAGCAAAGCGCACGACTGGCAAGGTTTCCTGTCCCGAGAGATCGCTTTGTAAGGCCGGACAAGCAACACCGGTAGAGACGGCGAAAAAGGGTACAAGCGGTTGCCGGTCAAGACCTTGTTACAACGAAGTGTCATCAGTCCGTGGCATACAGCACCAAATGCCTCCACATATTAACGGTAGACAGTTTGGTCTATCGTTGATGTCGGCACAGAAAATCAAACACGCATTGGAGGAAGAATTACTCGCCGATGAAGCCCGAATATCAATTACACATCGTGGAGTGGGATTTGTCCGCGCAAAACAGCCCGAGATTTCGCCGTACGAGATCGACAACGTAGCGTGTAAGTCGCTGTCCCATTTGGTTCGGACACGCAACATGAGTGTCGAAGAAGTAACACAATTTATCCGTGGCGAACGCGACAATGACAGAAGGCCGAACAAAGCAATTGACCCAGAACGACTACGTCGCGTACTCAGAGGTTATCCACATCTCGATGAACTAATTAAAATTGCAGAGGTCGGCATTGATGTACAGTGGCGTCAAGGACCGATGAAGAATCGTCCACCTCCTAAGAATCACGGTTCGTGTCGTCGTTATTTGCGCGCGGTGACCAGGTCAATTCGCGAAGGCCAAGACTCTGGTCAGTATATGGTTCTGGAGGCCGATATCCTCGACCGATGGCCTGAAATTATCTGCAGTCCTTTGGGGGCTGTGGTAAAGAAGGGTGTAGATCCGAACGAGGAAGTTCGCACTATTCATGACTTATCATTTCCGAAGAACGACTCGGTAAATTCCGCGTTGGTAGCGGATTCGATTCCAAAAGTGCGCTATGAGTCGGTCGCGATTATTGCAAGGCGAATTGAGTACTTGGCTACATGCGGTTACACGGAGAGAATTATGATGCTTAAAGGCGATGTGAAGGGTGCTTTTCGGCATTTACGTACCCGAGCTAACCAGGTTTTCCGTATGGCAGCCTTTACCAAGGAGCTAGAAATTATTATTATCGATCTGGCAGCTCCATTTGGGTGGTCGGGGTCGCCGCCATGCTACGCGTTATTTGGCCGGGCAATATCATGGCTCATGGGCTCAAATTCACCTGCGTCAGTGTCAGATTCCAAGGACAATGAACCATTTTTCCCTTACGAGTGGGTTGACGATCATATTTTAGTGGAACCCGACGAAGGTGATAGGTTACAGTTAGCAGAAGCAACACTTCGTCACGCTATGCTAGCCGCTCTTGGACCTCGCTCAATCAATGAGGCAAAATTCTCAGCCTGGAGCTCTGAGATAGTGGCGCTCGGGTTATTGTGGAACACCGTGCGGCGTACGGTATCAATCCCTAGCGACAAAATATCTAAAGCACACCGACGCGTACAAGCGATACTTCAGCGAGGCACCGCTACGAAAACAGAATTTTATCAGGTCCTCGGGTCTCTTCGACACGTAGCTACATGCTTGCGAACTGCTAAACCATTTTATCAACGGATTCAATCTCAATGCAACGCAGTGCCACGATTTGGCAAAACACGTCTGTCCGGTGGCACAACAACCGATTTGCGGTGGTTCGACCAAATCCTTATGCATGGCTGCCTAGCAGAGCTACCGTTGACGATATTCGGAAGTATGGAGACGATTGCGCCTCACGTTGAGTTGTATATGGATGCGTCCAACGTCGGATTGGCCGTGCTTGATCCTGCGGCTAATGCATTTATTCAGATACAATTTGATGACAAAGAACTATTGATGATTGACGAGCTACACCAATCTGGATTTTCTATCAATGTCCGTGAGCATTTGTGTATTGCTCTTGCGTTATGGACTTGGGGTGCGAAATGGTGTCGATTAGCCAAAGGGAAGCTTCTACTTATAAAATGTTGGAGTGACAATACTTCCGCTGTTGCGTGGTGCAACAAGCTGCATTCTCGGAGCTCATTCAGCCAAGAAATTAATAGGTGCATTGGTCTGGCCGAAGTGTACTTTAATTTACGTGTATCCGCCGACCATATCCCAGGATCGACGAATTGGATGGCGGATGCAGCTTCACGAGCTTGGACCGAACCTCATTTAACCAGATGGACTAACTTTTCTTCTGGCTGGACACAGAGCACAGTGCCGCTGCAATGCAGAAGACTCTACATGAACTTCTCGAACAGCTTCAATCCTGCTCATTGGCCGCGTCGTCAGCATCGCAGTACAACAGTACATGGCGACAATGGTGTAAATGGTGCAAGTTGCTTAACTTCCCGAGATGGCTACCCGAAAGCCCACGAAAACATTCCTACCAACTCGCCTTATTCGCTATTCACTGCTGGAACTATGGATGGGGACACACAGGATCAGGGAATTCTGCCGGCACCGTACTCTCGAAAATTAGCCATATCTCGTGGCATCATCGACGGATGCTCGGTTTCAGCGTCGCACTCTTACCAGGACACCAACTTGCAATCACTGGCATGCGGAGGAAGGACAAACCTCGTAACCCAAAATCTCCTGTCACAACCGATATCCTCAAGAAACTCCACGGGTTCCTCGATTTCAAGTCCGCCCAGCACCGAGTCATTTGGGGGGCTTCGGTGCTGGGTTTCTTCTTTCTTCTCAGAAGATCGGAGTATTTAGCCCAAGGAGCAAAAGTGTTGCCGTATGCAATACAGCGGTCAGATATTTCATTTGTGGATTCCGACGAGAGACCGACTGATAAACTACACGAGGTAGTGGCAGTAGTGATTACATTCCGCGGAAGTAAGTCCGACCAGTTTGGCGATGGAAGCAGTCGTAGACTGGAGCGTTCAGGGTATCAATGGTGCTGTCCAGTTTTAGCAGCATGGAATCTTGTTCGGCATCACAAGTCACTCGGTGTTGCGGAAAATACTCTATTGTGCAAGATTAATGTGGCTACAAATCTGCAAGTCAAAGATGTCGTAAAGGCGCTCAAATGCGCTGCAAGCCAGGCGGGTTACAATCCAGAAAGGTTTGGGTCTCACTCACTGCGCAGTGGAGGTGCAACCGCACTCTTTAATGCTGGATTTGATAGTTTGGCGGTCAAGTTATTTGGAAGGTGGAAGTCTGACGCTGTGGAGCGTTATACCCGTATTGGGGGACGGCTAACATCGCGAATGGCAAAAGACATGATAAAGAAGCCTGCCTTGTAGCGAACATTGGGGCATCCTCCACGCCACACCCTGGCAGCGGAGGCGCAACAATACATGCTTCTAAATGTGTGCCAAGTTGGCACAACCCCCCGAATCGATGGCGACGACAACTGAAATGGGAATTTTCAAGCAACGGGTGAAAATAGCTTTTGAGTGGAGGTAGCAAAAGATGAAACCAACGCAGGAGACCACAGGAGCGAGCGGCCGTAGTTAGTTTCAGAATTTCCTAATCGCGCTTAACCCGCCACGCCACACCCTGGCAGCGGAGGCGCAACAATACATGCTTCTAAATGTGTGCCAAGTTGGCACAACCCCCCGAATCGATGGCGACGACAACTGAAAAGTGCAATTATGGCCACTTTACCGTAAATCGTCGTGCATCACGGTTTTATGAGCTCGCATTATCGTAAATTTACCACCTGCTACTTTTAATTCAGCAAATCTAATCTTGTTTTGCCAAAATCACTACAAACCAAATAATAGCTAGCTTTAAGAGGAAGTCAAAAATACCAAGAGTTCTTTCAAATGATAATAGTGTGGAATAAAAAACCATCTTTTTGCTGTTGTACTGTACATGTAGTCTTGGAAAACCTCAAGAAATGTGGTCCTTGTTTTGTACGTGCTTCAATTACAAAATATAAAAAACACGTTCTCAGCATTCCCTTTTCCTGATGTCGTTGGACGCGTCGATGCAAAGCACAGAAAGCGGCTTGGTGCAGGTACAGTAAGCTACGCGCTAGCTCATCTCGACCATATCTCGCTAACTTCGTGCTATTAATCCCTGGCTACTGAAGACGAACAAAGCTGCTCCTGCTAGCACGACTCAGATCGTGAGCCGCGTTGTGTACCCTCGTTTACTAGGCAATCTTCCGGGAGCAACCCTACCGCAGTATGCGCACGAAATGACTCGCGAAGATGAAGATACTATGAAGCAGAGCTGCTATCAGGACGGACACGGCTTCGTCCAATACGCCCTTGTAGCGTGGATAATGATCGAGTACAAACACGATCCAATTGTTTCATTTCCTGTTGCTAGCAAGGTCGCCAAAGAAACAGCTGAAGAAGTCAAGGCTGCGATAAGTGCAGTGATCAATCCATCGCTAAAAACAACACACAACTTAGAGCTGTGGGACCTACTGGAGGTTGCATTTACGCAACTCCAGTATCGTGGAAACGCGCACATATTATTTCGCCAATACGTCGAGCGGTGCTGGAAGCAATACACAGGACACCCAGGTGACTATAAGGCGCCGTATGTGTCAATCGTACAGAGCTCCGGATTTGGTAAAAGTCGGCTATTACGGGAGCTGTCTTTGCTTACGAGTGCTGAGCTTCATGGAACGATGCGGGTGCTCTACACTTGTACGCGGGTGGGTCAGTCGAGTGGGGTTCCAGAAGCGACGAAAGGGTTCCGAAATTGGCTTTTTGGTGATTACCAGACTCTTGCGGGGATGACGTCGTGTCTGGAGACAATATTCTACTACGCTCAACAGAATTGGGCGAGTGTCGGTGTAGAATGGCTGGAATTGTTTACGACCAGTGATAACGATGCAATCGAGGCGTTGAATAAAGCTGAGCGAGTACGGAAATGCAGAAAACAGATGGAGATTGAGGGGAATAAAAAGCTGGTGATACTCGCTATCGATGAAGCCAGGTCACTCCTCGTGAGGACTCGCTGTGGCCATAATAAGCTCCGTATGCTGCAACGTGCGCTAAAGAGTGCAAACCAAGGCATCCAGAGATACCACCCAAATGCTGGGGTGTTTGCTGTCGTCTTGGTCGATACAAGCCTAGAAATCTCACAGCCGAAAGCATCATCGGGACGGATTTCGATGCGACCCGACGATAGCAATGCTCAGTTTCCTTCGTTTGTGCTTGGTCATACGATGGATGTCTACTGGAAGGATGTTGTGAAAATGAACAAGACTTCTGCTTACAAAGATGCTGTGTGTATTGGTGATAAGAATGAGGCCTGGAAGCATCTTGTTTCGATGGGTCGACCGCTCTGGAAGAGCACATTTGACGCGTCAATGAAGAAATACAACAGCGAAGTAAAAGCGGTCGAAAGAGTCCTCAGTCTTGCAGCGCAGAGAATGTTACTAGGAAGAGACACACTTTCCCTGATATGTTACGATGAAACGACAATGTTTGGAGTGGCTTCAATGCTGTGTCGACTTGGATTGCGTCCCCATTCGAGCTCGTCCCTGGCGCCTCGCGTCGTTGCCGACTTTATGGCGATTCTAGCTTACCTGAATTATGAAAGTGATGGATGTTTGAGTAGTTTCTCGTCGGATCCGGTGCTGGCGCTGGGAGCGACGAAGGTGTGGTACAACTGTAAGCCTGCATTGGCGAATTGTATCCTGCCGCAGCTCAAGAAGTTGCTTCTGAACGAGATGCTGGATACTTGTGGTGTTGACGAGGTAATTGCTCGCATTGTTCTGCTTCTCGTGATGGATTCTTGTGTGGTAGAGGCTGAAATATCGGCACAAAACCATTGTAATTGCCCGTTCATGGGCCAATTCGTAAGTCTAGAACTCTTCATCAAAGCACTAGTTGGTCCTGACCCGATATTAAAGACGAGGGGACAACCAACAGACGACGCAAGAGCAAATGATTCATTCATTAACTGGAAGTCCAAGTGGGCAGACTGGCAGTTAGGGTTCTGCCATTTCGTTCAGCTATTCTCCGAGCCAACAGAGGATATGCTGTGGGTGTTATTGGGACGTCGAGCCGGTGGGGTTTTCCCTCGTAACCAAAGTTGCGTAGATTTCGTGATCCCGATTTTTCACCGTGAAAAGCGAGAGGCGTCATTGATTCTAGTTCAAGTGAAGGATACAATAGATTACGCCAGCGAAACGATAGTGTCTTATCCTTGCAAGGTGTTTTCTTCGGGAAACACATTGAGCGAAAAATTACCCTGTGACGTGGTCGGTATTTGCATGAGTGTGCGAGAGCTACACGACCCGTTTATTCAATACGAGAAGGTGGCATTTAGTGCAGTCAAGGAGATGAAAGACCAGAATGGCAGCGACCCCATTTTCACGGAAGAATGTAGCGTTTCTACAGCACCGGCAACGCAGGTTGTGTCCAATGAGCAGAGAAAACATGGAAATCAACTTCAAGACCAATCGCCGACCAACGCCGCGGCTGTAGAAACTGTGAATGCGTTCACGCTTTGCTTTGGTTCGTTGCAGCCTTGGTTGCTTTCAAAGAAGAAAACTGGAGATACGCTGCTACCTGTTGTTCCTGATGCCACTGAAATTGTGAGCAAACTGGCCGAGATGATCTCGCCTCTTTGGGACCCCGTTGCTCTTGTATGCGGTGATTTAGACTACAGAGCAGAAGTGGAGATGAAGCACTGCGTTGAACCACGAGTATCCCAGGAAATGCCGGATGAAACGCTACTGAGTATCTCACGGCAAGCACTTTTGCACGCGACGTTTGGTGGTTCTGTAAAAGGTGATGGGAAGCGGGCACCCATCTAAAGCTTGTGTTGACGGGGCAAACGACGCACGAAGTCACGAAAAGAATCGTGACTCGACCGTTATTTCGAGCATTTCCACCGTGGATGGACAGAAGCGCAATATGCACTAGTAGCTACAGTTATATGCCGACAATTGAAACACTGCGAGAACGAGAGAATAAAAAACAAGGTCTCTATCGAGAGAAAAAAAGAGGGATGTTTCATCTTTGCCTGGTTTTCTAGGCGCACTTCGAAGTACTCTGGTAAGCCATGTTAACACCTCCATTTTACAATTGGATATTGGTTGTGGTTGCAGTGCACGTAATTTCTCGTGGGAATGTGCTTTTCTAAAATTGACACTAAATTAACCGAACAACTTGCAGCATGGACGTATTCTGCGGGGTGACTCCAGGGTGATGACTGTTTACGAATGGACATCTGCAGAGTTACCGCAACTTGTCACTGGTTAAACCAAAAGGGAAACCAGTTATTTTCTCTAATGCCACCCAACGATGTTGCGGCAACAAATTTGCTTGGACAAAGTACCCATCCCCGTGACGTTGAAAGCGCGCAAGAGTCATTTTCGAAAAGGCAAGGTTGCAGCAACATGTCTTCGGACAGTTCAGACGCCTCGATGCCTAGCGCAGACAGCAGCCCATTGCAGGTACTGTAATCAACGCGCAAGCACGTGGCTGCTCGTCTGTGTCCATCTATCCCTAACTACTTGCAACCTGGTTATGGTAGACAAGCGGCAACAGCGATGCGACATTGACCAGCATTACCCAGGTCAAGTAATATCGTGTTTCCTCGCTTACAAGCCAAGCTCCCCCTAACAGGCCTACAGCAGCAGGCCTATGGAATGAGTCGCGATGACGAAGACGTTTTGACTGAGGCCTGTCAACTGAATTCGCATGGCTTTATCAGCAATGCGATTGTGCCGTGGATAATGGAAGAGTACAGAAACAACGCGAGTGTTTCGTATCCCGTTGCAGTCGAAGTAGCCAAAGAAGTCGTCGAAGAAGTCACGAACGTGATACGCTCTGGAAAGCTCACACCAGCCAAAGAAACCAACCCAGAGCTGGATGAGCAACTGGAAATCGCATTCACACGGCTTGCGTATCGTGGAGACACGTGCGTCAGCTTCCGGGCATACGTGGAGCGTTGTTGGGGTGAATACGCGCCAAATCCTCAACTCTATATGTCGCCGTATGTTGCGATCGTGCAGAGCTCTGGGTTCGGCAAGAGCCGTCTGCTTCGTGAGCTGTCATTGATGACGAGCGCTGAAACTCAAGGAACGATGCGAGTGCTGTACACCTGCACGCGTCTTGGGCCATCGACTGGGTATCCGAAAGCGACCGAATGTCTTCAAAAGTGGCTATTCGGTAGCAACCAAACTGAAATGGGGCTGACATCCTGCCTTGAGGCAATATCATTCTACGCTCAAAAGAAATGGGAGGACGTCGGTACAGAATGGAAGGAGCTGTTTTCGAACCCAAACGCCGATCTGGATGTAGAAACAGCTTTAAAGGGGGCTCAAGTTGAGCAGGAATGCGACAACCCTATGGAGACTGCGGAAGGCAAAGGACTGGTAGTTTTGGCTATCGATGAAGCTAGGACACTGCTCACGGAGACTTCAGGTGCAACGAATAAGTTCCGGATGTTACGCCACGCTCTTAGGAAAGCAAACGCGAGAATTGCCAAGCGCCAACGAAATGCTGGTGTTTTGGCTGTCTTGGTAGACACGCATTCAACGGTATCAGATTTCACGCCTTCGCTGGCAGCAGAGTCATCAACTCGAACGGAACATCACAAGCCTCTCACGCTATTCCCACCGTTTGTGCTTGGGCACACCATGGATATCCACTGGAAGCATGCTCTACTCACAAATGAGATAGACGCCTACAAACTTGCTGTTTGCACGAGTAACGAGACAGATGCTTGGAGGAAGCTTCTGTTGATGGGCCGACCGCTCTGGAAGAGCACATTTGAGGCGTCGATGAGAAAATACAATAAAGTCGAACCAGCGACCACAAGTGTCCTCAAGCTTGCGTCGCGAAAGATGCTGCTAGGGAAAAACCCACGCAGACCGGCAAGTTACCAAGAAGCGACCATGTTCGGAGTTTCTTCCATGCTGTGTCGGCTTGGGCTGCGGCCGTATGCTAGCTCAACAATGGCGTCTCGAGTGGTGTCCGATTTTATGGCAATTCTGGCTTACGTGAACTATGAAAACGATGGACGTTTACTCAGCTACGCATCGGATCCGGTGCTGGCACTGGGAGCGACAAAGGTATGGTACGATAACAACGCGGCATTGGCCGACTGCATCTTGCCGCAGCTGAAAAAACTGCTTTTGAACGAGACGCTGGACACCGGTAGTATTGGTGAAGTAATCGCACGTATTATCCTGCTTATAGCGATGGATTCATGTGTGGTGAAAAAGGAGAACAAGTCACTGACCCACCGCTCTTGTCAATTTATGGGGCAATTTGTAAGCGTGAAGCTCTTTATGAAAGCGCTAGTTGGTGGGGATCCAAATATCAAGATGTTGAGACAAAAGAAGGCAAACAAACAGACAAGGGCTATTTACGACAGCTGGCAATCGAAGTGGGATGACTGGCAGGTGGGCTTCTGCCATTTTGTGCAGCTTTTTTCTGAGCCGACGGAGAACATGTTGTGGGTTTTGCTGGGGCGACGTGCCGCTGGTATTCTCCCACGAAATCAGTGGGGAGCAGACCTGCTGCTTCCCATTTTTCACCGAGAAAAGCGAGAGGCTTCGCTGATTTTGGTTCAAGTGAAAAACATTACACACCATGACACTGGCTATCCGCAGTCTGCGACGGTGAAGATGCACCCTTCGTTTGTGTTTTCTGAAAAAAACACGTTGAGTAAAAAACTTCCGGGCGACGTGATCCGCGTTTACATGAGTCTGCGAGAAAAGGAAGATCGATTCATTCGGTGGGAACAAGTGGAAGTAGAACCAGCGGTGAAAGGCGAAGAACAAACGCCTTCTACTGCTCCGAATGTTTTGAAATCGCACGGAGCTGAACCAACAACACAAACTAGGTCTAGTCGGCAGCGGAAGTCGCAAATGTCAAAGCAATCCGTGACTGATGCTGGTGCTTCACAGCGTGTCGACGCATTCACGTTATGCATTCGCTCCTTACGACCGTGGGTGCTTTCCGAGAAGAATACTGGGGGTGCTGCAATGCTACCTGTGCTTCCCGGAGTCGAGGTTATTGTGAGCAAGCTGGCGGAGATGGCTTCATCTCTGTGGGATCCCATTGCACTTGCTCGCGCTGATTTGGACTACAGAGCGAAGATGGAAATGAGTCACAGAGGTGCACCCCGTTTATCAAACGTCATGCCAGATAAAGCGCTACTAGATGTCGCGCAGCTGGCACTTCTACACCACACGCTTGGTGGCTCAACAAAAGCCAACGAAACTGAAGTGGAAGAGAAAACTTCGCCGCTGTGCTAAAAGCTACGCAAGCAAAACAAGTGTGTTATGCCTGCCGCCTGGGTAAGTCTGCGGGTGACGCACTCTCCAATCTGCTGTCGTCAGCTAGAAAGTTGCGACCTATAATCGGAGTAGCTTTTGAAAAAGGAAGAATGTTGCGTTTGAGTTTTCAGGTCTCCCTTTTCAAGATATGTAGGTTTTTGATATTGACCTGCATTATATTAGCTCAGTACAATGCAGTTGGTGGATTTGCTTAGTGCCAATTTAAATAGATAAGTGAGCTAAAACGGCACAGCCATCTCAGTACGCACAGAAACCATGATCAGTGTGTTTACAATCAGAGTGCATACATAGATCAGTTCGTTAAATGGATAACAGTGCTACTTTCGAAATAGAAGCATGAATAAGTTTTTTGAGGCGGTAAAATTGATTAATTAAACGGTAAACATTATACCATCGACCCAATACAAAAACTATGTAACATAAAACATTTGTTTTTTTTGGCTGGCTTGAAATTTGTAAGGGCCGAGTTTCTGTGGGCGATTAAATGGGCACTAGGGATAGAGAGCTTAAAGTAGTTGCCTGGGGGTGTAGACAATAGTATTATATGTAAAAAGTTGCACTCGCACCTCTGCTTGATCGATATTGATGGAGACTACCCCATAAATATGAGAAGTTTTAAATGTAAGATCGCGACGACTACACAACATGATCTGCTTTAGTAAGAACTATTTTGATGACTAGCTAAACATTCTCCATCAATATCGGGTAGCGTGGAGATAAAGCCACATTCTACCAGTATCACGATCAGTTCCTGTGGCAACTAAGCACAAGTGGAAGGCCTGGGCGGTCCAGCCTTCCAATTCAGCATGCGGTCCGGCGAGAAACGTGGCTCGTACCCTGTACCAATAACCGAAGGCAAAGACCATTTTGCTCGTTTGTACTGCCTGGCTCGAATCTGGCACTCCGCATAACAGCAATTAACTCGGATTCGGCACCGAATGTAGTCCACAACTGTCGGTGTCGAGTTATCGATGAGCAGCCTAACAGTGTCAAGGTGAAGGAAAGTGATGAGAGCTTAGAGGAGCCACTGTACTCTGTCGACTGCCTCGCGTGCGCTCTGGTAGTCTTCGCTCCATTTGGAGCTGATTAAGAAGCGTAGCAAGCCCATTGTGCCCCCAAGTAATCCCCTTTCTACCCCCAGACAGCACGTAAAGACGATGTACATCCAACGTTTGTTCCAGCTGCGTTTGAAGCGAAGAAAGAAGTTGAAAAGAAAGACGAGGAGGACGTTGCGGTGGATGGATGGGAAGTTGGTGATGTTGGGGTGACAAGACGGTGAAAAGCCGGAAGATGAAGTGGATGCTCCTAGCTCACGTATCGTCAAGACGGGGGGTATCGTGACTATTAACACCCGCTGTAAGATGAAAACACTCTTTGCTAAGGCTGTCCAGTCGAAGACAGACGAGGACCGTACAGTCTCGCGCTTTAATGAGGTGGCCAAGTACAGGTAGTCCTGGTCCGCGTCGTTGAGATGAGCACTCTGTGCACGGGATACTTTGACGAGGAGGGCAAGAAGCTGCTACGTTGGCGCCTGGCCTTCCTGCGTGACGAGATGCAGACGCGGCAGGCCTTATATGTGCTCCAGGCATACCTAAGCTGGTTTTAGTAGTGCCGGATGATATATACGCCATCCCGTACTGTGTTTCAAAAGGATCGATGAAAATTATTATTAGTCAAACTTAGCTGTCTCAGTACACTCGATCATTTGTTTTTAAAACACCCAAACACGAAGTGTACAACTTTACGTAGTAGCATGTCTAAAAAAACGTTTATAGGGTACAAAACGAGAAACGTTTTATTAGAAGAAAAATTGGTCTGCAAAGAAAAATGTGGCTCTACATACGTTGCGAATTATAAGCTAATTATCTTCTTTTCTTAATCAGCAAAAACGCTCTATAAAAGCATTGCGTTAACAACGCTAAACAGCAGAAACGCCCTCAAAGACTTCGTTTTGCCGATTTCAGTATCGAACCATCTTTACTAATCATGCTAGCTAGTCAACATGTCAACACTGAGACCGAGTGCTGATCTCTATTAATTATCATCCCCCTCACTCGCTTTCTTTCACTCTCTCTCGCATTCTCTCTCCAATATCTCGTGGCACCAACAGCGGAAGGTTGCCTAGTCTTCTTGACTCATGTACCGCGGTGCCTGAGAATAATTCGCTATAAGCTATCTGCGATATACGGTCGGCACTGATCTCTCTAATATTGGAAATCCAATACCCGAATATCCTTAAAATAGGGAACAGACCAAAACACAAACCCTTAACTTGAAGCTTGGCCTGACTGGAAACGAACGCTAACTTCAGGAAGATCGCTGCTTGCTGGTAGACATACCCGGGTCACCAAAAACGGGATTACCAACGTACGGGAAATCGTAAGTCCAGCCATGCTCCCCGTACGGAAACGATTGTGGCTACAGCAGCGGGATATAGGCATCGCTCGTCTCAAAGCTGCACTTAAAACCTCAGCCGATCGTATGTAGGATTATACCCCGATGCTCAGCCGTTTTTGTGTCGAACACAACGGCCGCCACCTCTAATGCCGTTGGGATGCTATGCGTACCCGGATTCGCATTTCGTGTAACGTGTAGACGCCGCTTAAGGTGACCCCCCTCTGGGAGGAAATTACTCAGGACTAATGATGAATCATAGTCATCTACGTCTTTCCCTGCCGCACGGCCCCGCTCGTGCTCGCTTGTGGCTGCTGCGTACGCCTCCCAACCACGCGGACGAAATACCGAACAAGCGAGGGTCCAACCCGGTCGTATGGGCCTCAGTTCATCGATAATTTAGCCGCGACGCGCACCCCAACCGCAGTGCTATAAGAATAGAGGAGGACAGTAAAAATGCAAGGATTGGTGATGCTGTGGAAGACGAAGTTCGCAGGGAGGGCATGCCAGATGAGCAGCGTCAAACAGAGCGCGATCAAAATACAGCTTCGCGGAGAGGCCGCAAAAGTAGCATGGCGGATGAGCAGCGTCAAGCAGAGAGTGAACTGAACGCAGCCGCTCCCAGAGCTCACAGAGAATCCATGGTGGAAGATCGAAGGGAGCTGCGACAAGAAACAAAGAGCGGTTCCGCAGTCGGTCTCGGCATACCACGAATATTTTTACCCTTCCAGAGTTTCCGGGGGTCGTCACTACTTCACGCGTTTACACGGACGACAGCCGGGAGAACGAGCGGGTTTGTCACTAGTGCAACACTTAAAAGTTTCCCGAAGAGACAGATGAACGCTGCTGTCGTAACGGACTGGCGTTCGTTCCATCCTCGCGACCAACCCTTCTAGCACTGTTCCAAACCCCGACCTTCATGCGATCAATTCGAGTCTACAACAACGTATTCGCGCTTACGTTCATAGGAGCTTCGCAATCTCAGCCGCTCAATATCAACGAAAGCGTGACTCGAAATTGCGTCTACAACTTCCGTGTGCAAAGGACAGTGTGCCAACGCATGGGATTGTTTCTACCTCCTACCAGCGGCCGCTCGATATATGCCCAAATTTTCTTTAACGACTCAGATATGGATGCACGTGTGAGAAGCCGTATGAACTTGACCCAAGGTCTCCATCGCACCGTTATTGAATAGATTGACCGCGTGATGTTGACGCACAACCCGTACACACAAGAGTGTATTAATGCGCGTAGGTTCTTGATACAGCTGTCTCGAATATCCTGGGACTCGCATCTGTTAGCTCCCTGAATGCGCTTCCTCTCTGCGTCTTTCTCTCCTGCCCGTCGGTTTTCTGAGCTCGTCATAGCAGCTCGATTGGCGCGGGCTCTTTCTGCATCACACGCACGTGTAGCGGCTGCGCTATCGACGACCATAGGTCCTGACATTCCAGTCTGAAACTCGGGGGTCTCGTGTTGCCCCTCGCGACGCGTATCCTCCTCATATTGTAATCGATGCTCCGCAGAATCATCTTCTTCTGTCTTCTTCTGTCTTCTCCTCACGCTCTACAACAGGACCTGGTACGCTTTTCTGTCCGG